TTTTGTTTTAAAAACACTTTAAAATTTTAAAAACACAGACTGGGCAGTCTTTTTCTTCAGAGAATTACCGTGTATCGTGAAAAGTTTTTTTCGTGTTAGTAGCAGAATTCATTCTCATTCTCATATTCTCATTCATTCTCTCTCTCTCTCTCTCTCTCTCTCTCTCTCTCTCTCTCTCTCTCTCTCTCTCTCTCTCTCTCTCTCTCTCTCTCTCTCTCTCTCTCTCTCTCTCTCAAGTAGTAGAGTTCATACTCGTTGGTGTGAGTGTCACGCTTTAGTAAAGTTCATTAAACTGATATGGTGGAGAGTCACACTGGCCGAAATGATAGATAATTAGGTTTGTCACCATTAGGAGGGAAGATTGTCCCAACTGCTTCCCCGCTTGTGTTTAAACGTGTCTCAGTGACTGTGTGATATCATGACAAGAGGTAGGATGATTTCATCAGCTGCGAGGAACCAGGAAGACCCGCGAAGAGCGTGCGACGGACCTGTCTCTTTTCCCGCGCTCTGGCCTAGACCACTCGCGCCTCTCAAAAGTAAAGCAGTGGTGGCACTGTCATACTCGGCCAGTGCCGGAGTATGCCAAAACAAGAACCAGGGAGGTGGCACTGACGACGCTGGCACCGCGGGGCGTCACGCGCGATGACACGAAAAAGCACGCACGCACGCACGCACACATACACGTACGCACACACACACACACACACACACACTTTAAAGGTTTATACGTGCCAGTTATTTTGGTTGTACTTTAGCAGGCTATAGCTGGGTATGAGGCGGGGGGAGCGCCGCCCCATACCCGGGTATACGGGTATGCTGGAGGTGCCAGCCCAGTATAACTAACTCCAGACCCAGGAAGGTGTGTGTGTGTGTGTGTGTGTGTGTGTGTGTGTGTGTGTGTGTGTGTGTGTGTGTGTGTGTGTGTGTGTGTGTGTGTGTGTGTGTGTGTGTGTGTGTGTGTGTGAGTGTGTGTGTGTGTGTGGAGGAGGCTGGAGGCTCCAGACACATAAACTGTGTATCTAGACTATGTATCTACATACATGCTACATGTATGTATGTATCTACATACCTACAGACAGTAGCCTACATATGCCATCATGGACAAGGTACCTTTGGATACGTTTAGCGAGTGTGGCAGCAAAGGTGTCACCGGCGCCAGTAGCAACAACGGCAAAATCATCGGTTAAAGCAACGGAAGATATAAGGTAACGCATCAGTTATATACTAGGGGAAGGGGCTATTACCTATTGACTCTCCTGCCTCCCACCACGCCATGTCCTTACCATGTGTCATGTTGTTAAACACCATTCACATGAAAACCAACGCTACCACCATTATCTTCCTGTCTATCAACGCTGCCACCATTATCTTCCTGTCTATCAACGCTACCCCCATTTCTTCCTGTCTATCAACGCTGCCACCATTATCTTCCTGCCCACCAACGCTACCACCATTATCTTCCTGCCCACCAACGCTACCACCATTATCTTCCTGCCCACCAACGCTACCACCATTATCTTCCTGCCCACCAACGGTACTCCCATTATCTTCCTACCCACCAACGCTACCACCATTATCTTCCTGCCCACCAACGCTACCACCATTATCTTCCTGCCCACCAACGCTACCACCATTATCTTCCTGCCCACCAACGCTACCACCATTATCTTCCTACCCACCAACGCTACCACCATTATCTTCCTGCCCACCAACGCTACCACCATTATCTTTCCTGCCCACCAACGGTACTCCCATTATCTTCCTGCCCACTAACGCTACCACCATTATCTTCCTGCCCACTAACGCTACCACCATTATCTTCCTGCCCACCAACGCTACCACCATTATCTTTTCTGCCCACCAACGGTACTCCCATTATCTTCCTACCCACTAACGCTACCACCATTATCTTCCTGCTCATCAACACTACCACTATTATATATTTTTTATTTTTTTTTTATGTACAAGAGTTCTTACATTCTTGTACAGTCACCAGCACGCGTAGCGTCTCGGGCAGGTCCTTAATCCTATGTTCCCTGGAATACAACCCGTCAAATGGTTTAACAACCAGGGGCCAGATTCACGAAAGTACTTACGCAAGCACTTACGAACCTGTACATCTTTTCTCAATCTTTGGCGGCTTTGTTTACAATTATTAAACAGTTAATGAGCTCCGAAGCACTAGGAAGCTGTTTATAACAACAACAACAGTTGATTGGGACGTTCTCATGCTTGTAAACTGTTTAATAAATGTAACCAAAGCCGTCAAAGATTGAGGAAAGCTGTACACGTTCGTAAGTATTTGCGTAAGTGCTTTCGTGAATCTGGCCCCAGGTACCCATTTTACTGTTGGGTAAACAGAGGCAACAGTTAGGGATTGACGCCCAGTAAATCCTCTTCCCAGTAAATTATCTTCTTGCTCACAAACACTACGACCATTATCTTGCTGCCCACCAAGGCTACGACCATTATCTTGCTGCCCACCAAGGCTACCACCATTATCTTCCTGCCCACCAAGGCTACCACCATTATCTTCCTGCCCACCAAGGCTACGACCATTATCTTGCTGCCCACCAAGGCTACGACCATTATCTTGCTGCCCACCAAGGCTACCACCATTATCTTGCTGCCCACCAAGGCTACCACCATTATCTTGCTGCCCACCAAGGCTACCACCATTATCTTGCTGCCCACCAAGGCTACCACCATTATCTTGCTGCCCACCAAGGCTACCACCATTATCTTGCTGCCCACCAAGGCTACGATCATTATCTTGCTGCCTACCAAGGCTACCACCATTATCTTGCTGCCCACCAAGGCTACGACCATTATCTTGCTGCCCACCAAGGCTACCACCATTATCTTGCAGCCCACCAAGGCTACGACCATTATCTTGCTGCCCACCAAGGCTACCACCATTATCTTCCTGCCAACCATCGCTACCACCATTTTCTTGCTGCCCACCAAGGCTACGACCATTATCTTGCTGCCCACCAAGGCTACCACCATTATCTTGCTGCCCACCAAGGCTACCACCATTATCTTGCTGCCCACCAAGGCTACGATCATTATCTTGCTGCCTACCAAGGCTACCACCATTATCTTGCTGCCCACCAAGGCTACGACCATTATCTTGCTGCCCACCAAGGCTACCACCATTATCTTGCTGCCCACCAAGGCTACCACCATTATCTTGCTGCCCACCAAGGCTACCACCATTATCTTGCTGCCCACCAAGGCTACCACCATTATCTTGCTGCCCACCAAGGCTACCACCATTATCTTGCTGCCTACCAAGGCTACCACCATTATCTTGCTGCCCACCAAGGCTACGACCATTATCTTGCTGCCCACCAAGGCTACCACCATTATCTTGCAGCCCACCAAGGCTACGACCATTATCTTGCTGCCCACCAAGGCTACCACCATTATCTTCCTGCCAACCATCGCTACCACCATTTTCTTGCTGCCCACCAAGGCTACCACCATTATCTTGCTGCCCACCAAGGCTACCACCATTATCTTCCTGCCAACCATCGCTACCACCATTTTCTTGCTGCCCACCAAGGCTACCACCATTATCTTCCTGCCAACCATCGCTACCACCATTTTCTTGCTGCCCACCAAGGCTACCACCATTATCTTGCTGCCCACCAAGGCTACCACCATTATCTTCCTGCCAACCATCGCTACCACCATTTTCTTGCTGCCCACCAAGGCTACCACCATTATCTTGCTGCCCACCAAGGCTACCACCATTATCTTCCTGCCAACCATCGCTACCACCATTTTCTTGCTGCCCACCAACGCTACCACCATTATCTTGCTGCCCACCAACGCTACCACCATTGTCTTGCTGCCCACCAAGGCTACCACCATTATCTTGCTGCCCACCAAGGCTGCGACCATTATCTTCCTGCCCACCAAGGCTACCACCATTGTCTTGCTGCCCACCAAGGCTGCGACCATTATCTTCCTGCCCACCAAGGCTACCACCATTGTCTTGCTGCCCATCAAGGCTACCACCAGCACCAGCTTCACAGCACCAGGCGAACACCCATATACCAGTTAATTAACAGTTGAGAGGCGGAATCAAAGAGCCAAAGCTCAACCCCCCCCCCCCAAGCACAACTAGATGAATATAGCCAAGGTGTCTTAATACTGGTCCGTCTCTTGATCTACTATCTCTCTCAACCACCATCTAACGTGACTTTTTAAACTTGAATTTTCGACTGGAATGTGTTCCCCTCTTGAAGAGCTGCGAGTAGATTTGCCACAAAACGGCTCTTGAGCGGAGCAGCGCCTTGAGGCAAACAGCTACTGAAGGAGGTTGGCAATCGTGCTCAGGGAGTTGGAAATCTGGGAGGCTTAGTTTTTGTGGGGGTGCGTGGGGTGGGTGAAGGGAGGAGGGGTGTGGTGGTGGTAAGGTAGGGGGGCAACTGGTTATTTTGGTGTGAGGGAGCATTACTGGGGCCAAGACGACCCCTGGGGTCTCCCAGGGTTACCTCCACTTGCCTCCCCCCATTCCCTCCTGGGTTGGGGAAGGAGCACGGAGATGTGGGGAAGACAAGGTAGGTGGGGGCGAGGGGGGAAGGGGCAGGATGGTTGGGGTGGTGGGACCTGTATCATGTTCCAAAATGTCTCATTGTTTCCCTACGGACACTAATTATTGCTGGGGAGGCCGAGGGGTGGTTAATGGTGTGCCTCTCCTGCGGCACAACCACCACCACCCGCCCGTCCGTCCTGGCAGCTCGCACAGCCGCCCAGGACACAGGCGGGGCTGTGCCCGGCCGCCTCGCCAGGTCACACCCACTCTCCAGGACGGCGCAGGACACCACTTGGCTCCATGTGACCTCTTCCCCGCAGTGGCTCGGTTGACCTGACGCGAGTAGGGTGACTTCCTTGCCGGGGTCCCCCGTCTCTTTCCTGTCCCTCACCACACACCCTTCCCAGCTGCCTCCCGTCTCACAGCTGCCTCGCTACTTCCGACCACGACGTGACGGGCCCCCCTACCCTGCCTTCCTCCCCCCTCTCCTGGAGAGCGCCACCCCCTCCCCCCCGTATCATATAAAGCGGCCCCTCCCTCAGAATTGGGTAGTGTTAGTGAACCAGTGAGACAAGGAAGAGGGCCCCAGCAGCTGGTCCTGGGGCAGCGTGCACCACCCACAGCTGGCTCTTGTGGCGGCGGGTCACCGTTTGCACCAACTCCTGGCCATCTGGCACACTTTTAGACATTCAGGTGTTGTAACCGGTTCGATGTTAGTGTCGTGTCTGTCAAGCCAGCGTCTCTCTGACCCCCGTTCCTTGGCCGCGGTGGGTGGTGTCCCCAGAAGGTATAGCTGTGGCAGTGTCATTGTGCCGCCAGGCACTCGTGGCACCTCAGTCTTGGCGGGGCGTGCGCGGGCGTGTTGCATTACGCCAGTTGAAGCAGTGCCGCGGGAACAGTGTTGCGGGCGGGTGTGTGTGTGTGTGGGTAGCTTTGTCAGGTGTGTGTGGGGCCACCTGCCAGTGTGCCGGGTATCGTCTGGCCGGCCAGCAGCGAGGGCCATGTACAGGTATATGTGGGGCATGAGGTATATACCTTGGCACTAGGGTGGCGAGCGTGCCAGCCCCCAGGCACTCCGGGGCCGGACCACCGCCAATTCAAACTGGTCCTCGCAGTTGCCACATCTCGTTTTCGGCAAGCCGTCATTTCCCCTCGTCTCCGGCGCTTGTTGGGGGGAAGTGTGTGAGTGTTGCGTTGTTTAAGGAGTGTTGTAGGGTGCCACGTGTCAGGTCGGGGCGCTGGTAGGCGCCGGCTCCTCCTGCTGCTGCTGCCTACAACACACACTCTAATGGCTGCCATCCCCTCCCCCCCCCCCTGGCACTATTCAGTTTATTTTTAATGAACGATGCTAAATCTGCGGTCGTGGAGGGGGCGGGGGGTGGGGGTCGTGTGCGGACTATGGCCGCATTGCCGCCTTATATGGCAGACGCACTCACGCACTCCAGTGATGTTGAGAAGGGCACGTCCCAGCATCAGTAGCGGCCGTGCCCAAGATCCTCGGGGCAGGCGTGGCCTCCGTGCCCACACTCCCCCCCCCTCTCCCTCCCTCCCTCCCGCACCCAAGACCGTTGGGGCACTTGGGGCTAGTTTTCTTTCCTATGATATTGGAACTGGGCATTTGGGCTTTGTCGTAGGCCTTTGGAGGTGAGTGTTGGCGTAGCGGTGCTGTAGGTGTGGTGCTGGGTGACGGGGTATTATGGGGGGGGGGGGAGAAGCGACATATAAGGGCGGACGGCGGGTGGAGGGGGGGAGACTGGGAGAGGGGGGGTTAATGGGGGGGTGGGTGCCAAGTTTAGCCCCGGTGGTGGTGTAGAGTGTCGGGGGTGCCGGGGTGCGTCGCCCAGTGCCCGCCTGGCCCGCCACAACCACTGTGGTGCCTCTCTCGTCCGGGCAGCTGCTGCTGCTGCTGCTGCCTCTCACCACAACTCTCCAGCCTCCCTCTCCGCTTATACTGCCGTGGAGGCCTACCTGCAGGGGCGGCCAGCGGCCCCGCCGCCGCCGCCGCAGCGCAGGACATCATCGTCGTCGTCGTCGGCAGCAGTGGTTCCTACGGCCCCGTGCTTCCTTACGTCCCATACGCATACACAGCTATGGAATGTAAAGAAGTATGGAGTGGTGGGGACCTGAAGTCTACGCCGGCACCGCCGTTCAGGACTCGTGTGTGTGTGTCCCAGTGTGCTGTGGTGTGGGGCACCCGCACCCAACATGGCGGCCGCCATGCACTCGCCAACTGCCCGCCACACACACACACACACACACACACACACACACACGCACGCTCACGCTCACACACACACACACACCTCGCCTCTCATCTCCTCAACTGTTTCGGCCAGTGTTGGGTATATAGTTGTGCTGTAGACTTAAGTCTAGTGGGAGTGGGGGAGAGCAGCGTGGGAGTGCGGGAGCTCTACATCTACACCCTGCAGAGCTCATTCACCCGGCCGGCTGTTGTGGCCCCCAGAACCAACAGTCGGCTGGGTCCGAACAAGCTCGTGCTAAATAACGACGTCGCACCAAGTTCTCCCCCAGTGCCTCCCAGTGCCTCCCGCCGCCGCCGCCGCCGCCATCAGTGCCATCAGTGTAAGTCCCCCCCCCTGTCCCCCCAGGGCCTCGCTGCCTCTGCTCTCCTCTCCAGGTCTTATTCTACACACATGCTAAAGTGTGGCACTCTGGGGGTAGTGTGGCACTCTGGGGGGTAGTGTGGCACTCTGGGGAGTAGTGTGGCACTCTGGGGGGTAGTGTGGCACTCTGGGGAGTAGCGTGGCACTCTGGGGGTAGTGTGGCACTCTGGGGGGTAGTGTGGCACTCTGGGAGGTAGTGTGGCACTCTGGGGGGTAGTGTGGTACTCTGGGGGGTTAGTGTGGCACTCTGGGGGGTAGTGTGGCACTCTGGGGGGTAGTGTAGCACTCTGGGGGGTAGTGTAGCACTCTGGGGGAAGTGTGGCACTCTGGGAGGGTAGTGTGGCACTCTGGGAGGGTAGTGTGGCACTCTGGGAGGGTAGTGTGGCACTCTGGGAGGGTAGTGTGGCACTCTGGGAGGGTAGTGTGGCACTCTGGGAGGGTAGTGTGGCACTCTGGGTGGTAGTGTGGCACTCTGGGTGGTAGTGTGGCACTCTGGGTGGTAGTGTGGTACTCTGGGTGGTTGTGTGGCACTCTGGGGGGGGTAGTGTGGCACTCTGGGGGTAGTGTGGCACTCTAGGGGTAGTGTGGCACTCTAGGGGTAGTGTGGCACTCTAGGGGTAGTGTGGCACTCTAGGGGTAGTGTGGCACTGTGGGGGGTAGTGTGGCACTCTGGCCGCAATGCCAGCTATTTTTTGGTGCGGCCACGAGCGGATTTACTAAGTATATATATATATATATTATATATATATATATATATATATATATATATATATATATATATATAACTTCTTTATAACTTGGATAACTTCTTTAAGCTGATGCTAATGAGTGTTCAGTGTTCACAAACACCCAGTGTTCTGTACGAGTGAGTGTTCAACTAATATCGTGCTTTAGCTCTTGGCCCCCGCCTTCCTGACCGTTGCTTGTCTAATGTACTGACTCCCGACTGTGTGTGTGTGTGTGTGTGTGTGTGTGTGTGTGTGTGTGTGTGTGTGTGTGTGTGTGTGTGTGTGTGTGTGTGTGTGTGTGTGTGTGTGTGGCACCAAGAGGGTCTCTCCAGCCTCCACCAGTGCCGTGTGGCACTTACCGGCTCACTCGCCATCAGTGCCAGTTTCTGGTGTGGTGATGTAGTTAGTTAACACTATAACACGAGCTACATCAACGCTCACACCACCAGGCTAGTCCCTGAGCTGAGGGGTCTGAGCTACGAGGAGAGACGACTGGAACTCAACCTCACGAGACTGGAAGACTGGAGCCATTACTATAGGGGGGGGGGAGGAACCATTACTGTGGGGGGAGACTGGAGCCATTACTGTGGGGGGAGACGAGCCATTACTGTGGGGGGAGGCAGGAACCATTACTGTGGGTGGAGGCAGGAACCATTACTGTGGGGGGAGACAGGAACCATTACTGTGGGGGAGACAGGAACCATTACTGTGGGGGGAGACAGGAACCATTACTGTGGGGGGAGACAGGAACCATTACTGTGGGGGAGGCAGGAACCATTACTGTGGGGGGAGACAGGAACCATTACTGTGGGGGAGACAGGAACCATTACTGTGGGGGAGACAGGAACCATTACTGTGGGGGAGGCAGGAGCCATTACTGTGGGGGGGGGGGGAGACTGGAGCCATTACTGTAGGGAGGCAGGAACCATTACTGTGGGGGAGGCAGGAACCATTACTGTGGGGGGAGACAGGAGCCATTACTGTAGGGGAGACAGGAACCATTACTGTGGGGGAGGCAGGAACCATTACTGTGGGGGGAGACAGGAGCCATTACTGTGGGAGGAGACAGGAGCCATTACTATGGGGGAGGCAGGAACCATTACTGCGGGGGGAGACAGGAGCCATTACTGTGGGAGGAGACAGGAGCCATTACTGTGGGGGAGGCAGGAACCATTACTGTGGGGGAGGCAGGAACCATTACTGTGGGAGGAGACAGGAGCCATTACTGTGGGGGGAGACAGGAACCATTACTGTGGGAGGAGACAGGAGCCATTACTGTGGGAGGAGACAGGAGCCATTACTGTGGGGGAGGCAGGAACCATTACTGTGGGGGAGGCAGGAACCATTACTGTGGGGGAGGCAGGAACCATTACTGTGGGGGAGGCAGGAACCATTAATGTGGGGGAGACAGGAACCATTACTGTGGGAGGAGACAGGAGCCATTACTGTGGGAGGAGACAGGAGCCATTACTGTGGGAGGAGACAGGAGCCATTACTGTGGGAGGAGACAGGAGCCATTACTGTGGGGGAGGCAGGAACCATTACTGTGGGGGAGGCAGGAACCATTACTGTGGGGGAGACAGGAACCATTACTGTGGGAGGAGACAGGAGCCATTACTGTGGGAGGAGACAGGAGCCATTACTGTGGGGGAGGCAGGAACCATTACTGTGGGGGAGGCAGGAACCATTACTGTGGGGGAGGCAGGAACCATTACTGTGGGGGAGACAGGAACCATTACTGTGGGGGAGGCAGGAACCATTACTGTGGGGGAGGCAGGAGCCATTACTGTGGGGGAGGCAGGAACCATTACTGTAGGGGAGGCAGGAACCATTACTGTGGGGGGAGACAGGAGCCATTACTGTAGGGGAGGCAGGAACCATTACTGTGGGGGAGGCAGGAACCATTACTGTGGGGGGAGACAGGAACCATTACTGTGGGAGGAGACAGGAGCCATTACTGTGGGAGGAGACAGGAGCCATTACTGTGGGAGGAGACAGGAACCATTACTGTGGGGGGAGGCAGGAGCCATTACTGTGGGGGAGGCAGGAGCCATTACTGTGGGGGAGGCAGGAACCATTACTGTAGGGGAGGCAGGAACCATTACTGTAGGGGGAGGCAGGAGCCATTACTGTGGGGGAGGCAGGAGCCATTACTGTGGGGGAGGTAGGAACCATTACTGTGGGAGGAGACAGGAACCATTACTGTGGGGGGGAGGCAGGAACCATTACTGTAGGGGAGGCAGGAGCCATTACTGTGGGGGGAGGCAGGTCTCAAAGTCTCTTGAGATGGTTATCTTGAGATGATTTCGGGGCTTTAGTGTCCGCGCGGCCCGGTCCTCCACCCCCAGGAAGCAGCCCATGCCTCATCCCCTATTTATGTAGTTCTACTTAACCCTAATATCACCACCATCCTCACCCCCTAATATATCACTCCTTCCCCTCCCTATCTTCACTAATATCGCCACTACTTGAGCTGGACGATAGAGCGACGGTCTCGCTTTATGCAGAGCTGCGTTCAATTCCCCTATACTGTCCAAGTAGGGGAATTTCCCCCCATCCTCCCCTCCCCGTCCCTGTCCCACCCCCCTCCCTTACCCCTATTATACCCACTAGGGGCCAAACCCCTCCTCCCGCCTCCCTTGAAAAGGTGACTTACTCATAGCACAGACTAACCCTTATTCATTAATCTCTTAACAGATTCACGAAGCAGTTACGCAAGCACTTACGAACGTGTACATCTTTCGTCAATTTTTGACGGCTTTGGTTACATTTATTAAACAGTTTACAAGCATGAAAACTTGCCAACCAAATGTTGTTATTGTTATAAACAGCCTCTTGGTGCTTCGGAGCTCATTAACTGTTTAATAATTGTAAACAAAGCCGCCCAAAGGTTGAGAAAAGATGGACAGGTTCGTAAGTACTTGCGTAACTGCTTGGTGAATCTGGCTACAGGTTTATGCTTCCATTTAAGCTTCCACTTAAGAGCCGTTGTCTTACACCCATAACTCTGTTACTTGGCTCGTTCCTGACAAGTTATCTGGCCAAAAACTTTACTCGCAACAAGTTATTCAAACAGTTTAAAGTCCCGGCTGGACAGATGTGCAACAGGTGTGCATCAGGTGTGCAACAGGTGTGCATCAGGTGTGCATCAGGTGTGCAACAGCGTAAACCAAAGTTAATTTCCTCTCACCTGGGACTCTGCGAGACTCGAACCTCGGTCCCCCACGTGAGGGAGGCCGAAGCTCTACCGACCGAGCTATTGAGTGGTCTTAATAAGAAAAGTGTCCAGAAGCAAGTTAAATTTATGAATAACATTTTAACATGTGTAAATATCATGCCTCCATTTTCTATTGTACTTTATGGGAATAATTCGTTTTCTTTCTCAAACTTTGTTCACTAACTGAAAATTATTATTAATATCTCCTGTATATATATATATATATATATATATATATATATATATATATATATATATATATATATATATATATATATATAGATTCATTATTCAAGATTCAAGATTCTTTATTATTCAAGGAATAAAAATTCAAGATCAGAAAGACCTTGTACGGAGTAGGTCGTCAAACAATCAAGAATTAATGAACCTGAACCTACAGAAGACCTACGAGGCAGCACCTGTTTCTCTCTCCCTAAACTCATTCCTACACATGTCATTCATAAACTCATTCATACACATGTCATTCATACACTCATTCATACACTCATTCATACACTCATTCATACACATGTCATTCATACACTCATTCATACACTCATTCATACACATGTCATTCATACACTCATTCATACTCGCTTGAAATTACCGATTCCATGTCTGTCGAGATCAGGGATGCCAACACAAGCATAAAGGTTTACCAACAGAACACGAGGTTTAACAAGGAAAGAATAGGTCGTTCTGGGAACACTTTGAGGGGGGAGGGGGGGGTGTCAGGGGTACCAATACTCCCGAGAAAACAGTGACCCCTTTTTCACGCACTCGTGTGACCCCTGTGGGTGACCTGACCCACACTACCGCCCTCTGTGGGCGACCTAACGTGCTTTCTATTCACTTTTGTTGTATACTCGTGCCACATCTTGCAGCTGTTGGGCAATTCTCCCCTCGTTACGGAATTAATAAAGATCCAGACAACAGTTATAAGTAATTATCAAAAGACGGCACCAAGTCAGGAGGTCATATGTAGGAGACCTTACAGCATCTGTCAACAGCCTCAAGCTGTCTGCTGCTGGACTGGCTGCTGCTGGACTGGCTGCTGCTGGACTGGCTGCTGCTGGACTGGCTGCTCCTGGACTGTCTGCTCCTGGACTGTCTGCTCCTGGACTGTCTGCTCCTGGACTGTCTGCTCCTGGACTGTCTGCTTCTGGACTGTCTGCTCCTGGACTGTCTGCTCCTGGACTGGCTGCTCCTGGACTGTCTGCTCCTGGACTGTCTGCTCCTGGACTGTCTGCTCCTGGATTGTCTGCTCTTGACCACTGCCGTAGAAAATGATATATAATTCCTTACAAACTTCCTTGTTTTGCTTGCATGTTCTCCTCCTCTCTTGTATAATATGGCTACGAGGCAGTTTGATAGGATAGCGTCAGTGGGGGATAGTATGAGGATGGTATGAGGGGGGGATAGTATGAGGATGGTTCCCAGCATCTATATGTCTTCGGCCGGGCTCGTACCTGGCCCCCTAATTAAGGTTTTAGCTTGAGCTACCTCATCCCTTTGTGTGTATTTTACCTCAATAAACTTATTTCAATTTCAATTAAGGTTTTGTCAACAAGGCTGTTGGACGCCAGAACCACCGCCCGGCTGATCAGGCAGGTACCGTTATAGGTTACTGAGAGAGATGACAAACTTATACTCCTTATATTTAACGGTTGGGGTTCGAAGTTTTAATTAATTGGGCCCCTTGATGTTACTTCCGAGTGCTCCCCGGAGCTAATTTTGCACACTGAGCCATATATGCCTCCAGGTCTGGGAGGTCTGGTCGAGAACCGGGCCGCGGGGACGCTAAGCCCCGAAACCCATCTCAAACAGAGATTATTCTTAAGTTATGACATTTTTTTTTACCTTTTAGACCAACGATTTCAAATACAATAAGTGTATTATATTAAAAACGTTTTCTATGGAAGTCTTTGGTTTTCTGTAAATAGTATTCTCGGGCACACAAATAGTTTCCGAATACCATATTTCATATCATCAATAATACACCGTACTAACATAACTCAACGTAATGTAACCTAACCTTAACCTAAAGTAACCTTAACCTAATCTCTAAGACAGTGTAGACAATAGCACCAATTATGTAGTCGTTCCCAATCTTTGAGGACAGGTTGCCAATCCTCGAAGACAGGTTCCCAATCTTCGAGGACAGGTTCCCAGTCCTCGAAGACAGGTTCCCAATCTTCGAGGATAGGTTCCCAGTCCTCGAAGACAGGTTCCCAATAATCGAAGACAGGTTCCCAATCCTCGAAGACAGGTTCCCAATCTTCGAGGACAGGTTCCCAATCTTCGAGGACAGGTTCCCAGTCCTCGAAGACAGGTTCCCAATCCTCGAAGACAGGTTCCCAATCTTCGAGGACAGGTATGGTGGTGGTGGTCCAGCGCGCAGATCTGGAATCATTCTCATAATACGTTCCAGGATCACAATGATCCAGGAGGACAGTGATCCTGGGGACAGTGATCCTGAAACAGTGCACCGTGAACGAGCCAACAGTGATCAGGAGACAAGCCGCTGAGGAAAAAGTAACAATGCCTGTAGCCAGTGCCCCCCCCCCCGGTAATCACGTGACCTTGAAGGAGTGCCACACTGATTCCTTTCACAGTCCCAAGTCTTCCCCCTCCCCCCCCCCTTAACCCCCCTCCCCAATCCCCCATCACCCCGCCCCCCCTCCGTCAACCGTCACTCCCATGTCAAGTTCCCTCCTTCAACTCCCTCCAGCAGACTTAGGGCTAATTTCCCACTACCAGTAAAGGCACTACTGACACGTAGACCTTGGAGGGTGGATCCTAGGATCATTGTCCTCAGCAGCCCCGGTCTCTGACTAGGCCTCCTGGTTGAGGGGTCTGGAGCACCAAGCTGTTAGATGCAGCTATTGGCATCTAATAGGATTTAGGGATGTTGAAAAGTTACACAAGAAACTGGGCCTCAATGAATCACTAGGACCTGCACCACCAGGGACCTGCACCACCAGGGACCTACACCACCAGGGACCTGCACCACCAGGGACCTGCACCACCAGGGACCTACACCACCAGGGACCTGCACCACCAGGGACCTACACCACCAGGGACCTGCACCACCAGGGACCTACACCACCAGGGACCTACACCACCAGGACCTGCAGCACCAGGACCTGCAGCGGCACCTGGGTCAACTAGAGCAGGTGCCAGGGGCGCGTGCCTGGCACTACACAAGCCAGTGCCGCGCTCGGCGTCTCAAGTGAGGACATAATTGAACGACAAGTAGGAACACAAGCTCCCGAGTACACGTCTCGTCTCGTCCTCTGGGGCTGCCACACTGTGTGGGCGTCCTGACTCACACTGACACACTGTGTGGGCGTCCTGACTCATACTGTCACACTGTGTGGGCGTCCTGACTCACACTGTCACACTATGTGGGCGTCCTGACTCACACTGTCACACTGTGTGGGCTTCCTGACTCACACTGTCACACTGTGTGGGCTTCCTGACTCACACTGTCACACTGTGTGGGCGTCCTGACTCACACTGTCACACTGTGTGGGCGTCCTGACTCACACTACCACACTGTGTGGGCGTCCTGACTCACACTGTCACACTGTGTGGGCGTCCTGACTCACAGTCACACTGTGTGGGCGTCCTGACTCATACTGTCACACTGTGTGGGCGTCCTGACTCATACTGTCACACTGTGTGGGCGTCCTGACTCACACTGTCACACTGTGTGGGCGTCCTGACTCACACTGACACACTGTGTGGGCGTCCTGACTCACACTGTCACACTGTGTGGGCGTCCTGACTCACACTACCACACTGTGTGGGCGTCCTGACTCACACTGTCACACTGTGTGGGCGTCCTGACTCACACTGTCACACTGTGTGGGCGTCCTGACTCACACTGTCACACTGTGTGGGCGTCCTGACTCACACTGTCACACTGTGTGGGCGTCCTGACTCACACTGTCACACTGTGTGGGCGTCCTGACTCACACTGTCACACTGTGTGGGCGTCCTGACTCACACTGTCACACTGTGTGGGCGTCCTGACTCACACTGTCACACTGTGTGGGCGTCCTGACTCACACTACCACACTGTGTGGGCGTCCTGACTCACACTGTCACACTGTGTGGGCGTCCTGACTCACACTACCACACTGTGTGGGCGTCCTGACTCACACTGTCACACTGTGTGGGCGTCCTGACACACTACCACACTGTGTGGGCGTCCTGACTCACACTACCACACTGTGTGGGCGTCCTGACTCACACTGTCACACTGTGTGGGCGTCCTGACTCACACTGTCACACTGTGTGGGCGTCCTGACTCACACTGTCACACTGTGTGGGCGTCCTGACTCACACTGTCACACTGTGTGGGCGTCCTGACTCACACTGTCACACTGTGTGGGCGTCCTGACTCACACTACCACACTGTGTGGGCGTCCTGACTCATACTGTCACACTGTGTGGGCGTCCTGACTCACACTGTCACACTGTGTGGGAGTCCTGACTCACACTGTCACACCCTTGTGGGCGTCCTGACTCACACTGTCACACTGTGTGGGCGTCCTGACTCACACTGTCACACTGTGTGGGCGTCCTGACTCACACTGTCACACTGTGTGGGCGTCCTGACTCACACTACCACACTGTGTGGGCGTCCTGACTCATACTGTCACACTGTGTGGGCGTCCTGACTCACACTGTCACACTGTGTGGGCGTCCTGACTCACACTGTCACACTGTGTGGGCGTCCTGATTCACACTGTCACACTGTGTGGGCGTCCTGACTCACACTGTCACACTGTGTGGGCGTCCTGACTCACACTGACACACTGTGTGGACGTCCTGACTCACACTGACACACTGTGTGGGCGTCCTGACTCACACTGTCACACTGTGTGGACGTCCTGACTCACACTGACACACTGTGTGGGCGTCCTGATTCACACTGTCACACTGTGTGGGCGTCCTGACTCACACTGTCACACTGTGTGGGCGTCCTGACTCACACTGTCACACTGTGTGGGCGTCCTGACTCACACTGTCACACTGTGTGGGCGTCCTGACTCACACTGTCACACTGTGTGGGCGTCCTGACTCACACTGTCACACTGTGTGGGCGTCCTGACTCATACTGTCACACTGTGTGGGCGTCCTGACTCACACTGTCACACTGTGTGGGCGTCCTGACTCACACTACCACACTGTGTGGGCGTCCTGACTCATACTGTCACACTGTGTGGGCGTCCTGACTCATACTGTCACACTGTGTGGGCGTCCTGACTCACACTGTCACACTGTGTGGGCGTCCTGACTCACACTGTCACACTGTGTGGGCGTCCTGACTCATACTGTCACACTGTGTGGGCGTCCTGGCTCACACTGTCACACTGTGTGGGCGTCCTGACTCACACTACCACACTGTGTGGGCGTCCTGACTCACACTGTCACACTGTGTGGGCGTCCTGGATCACCCGCCCACCATAAGAATCTCTAAACCGCAACGATCTAATCATTGTTCGGAACAGTGTTCTAAATATATTATTTTGAACCAACAGAGACAACTCACTTTGCTTTAAATATCGGGTGTTGTCAAGACCGCAAGATGCTTACACATCACGGCTGTGTTGGTCTGGCAAGCACTGTTGACAGGCTGCTGAGGTGTGTGGGTGTTTGACACCCACGTGACAGGCTTGTCAAGGCTGCAACTAGCTCTGCTAGACGAACTTTAGGGGTCAATTCCTGAGCCCGTTATGTGCTTCTAAGCTTTTCCACTACCGCTCATAGGATGGGTATGGGGTCCACTACCGCTCATAGGATGGGTATGGGGTCCACTACCGCTCATAGGATGGGTATGGGGTCCACTACCGCTCACAGGATGGGTATGGGGTCCACTACCGCTCACAGGATGAGCATGGGGTCCACTACCGCTCATAGGATGAGCATGGGGTCCACTACCGCTCACAGGATGGGTATACGGCCCACCACCACTCACAGGATGGGCATGGGGCCCACCACCACTCACAGGATGGGTATAGGGCCCACCACCACTCACAGGATGGGTATAGGGCCCACCACCACTCACAGGATGGGCATGGGGCCCACCACCACTCACAGGATGGGTATAGGGCCCTCCACCACTCACAGGATGGGTATAGGGCCCACCACCACTCACAGGATGGGCATGGGGCCCACCACCACTCACAGGATGGGCATGGGGCCCACCACCACTCACAGGATGGGCATGGGGCCCTCCATCACAGGATGGCATGGGGCCCTCCACCACTCACAGGATGGGCATGGGGCCCTCCACCACTCACAGGATGGGCATGGGGCCCACCACCACTCACAGGATGAGCATGGGGCACTCACAGGATGGAACATGGGGCCCACCACCACTCACAGGATGGGCATGGGGCCCTCCACCACTCACAGGATGGGCATGGGGCCCTCCACCACTCACAGGATGGGCATGGGGCCCTCCACCACTCACAGGATGGGCATGGGGCCCTCCACCACTCACAGGATGGAACATGGGGCCCACCACCACTCACAGGATGGAACATGGGGTCCACCACCACTCACAGGATGGAACATGGGGCCCACCACCACTCACAGGATGGGCATGGGGCCCACCACCACTCACAGGATGGGCATGGGGCCCACCACCACTCACAGGATGGGCATGGGGCCCTCCACCACTCACAGGATGGGCATGGGGCCCTCCACCACTCACAGGATGGGCATGGGGCCCACCACCACTCACAGGATGGGCATGGGGCCCACCACCACTCACAGGATGGGCATGGGGCCCACCACCACTCACAGGATGGGCATGGGGCCCACCACCACTCACAGGATGGAACATGGGGCCCTCCACCACTCACAGGATGGGCTACTTTAAAAATTAGCTAATTACGCACGTCTCTTAAATATATTCACAAACTTCACAAGAAATCAGGGAAAAGGTATAATATATATATATATATATATATATATATATATATATATATATATATATATATATATATATATATATATATATATGGCGTCGACCTCAACAGTAAACCAGTAGTACAGTGGTAAACATTGCCATCTGAACCCCACTCGCTACGCCAGCGGGAAGACCTGGGATCGAACCCTGAAGGGAGAGGTAAGGGTTGAGAGGGAATGGGACTCTGTACCCGCAGTGCTCAGATTCCCCCCCCCCCCCCCCTCCCAGTTCGCACCCCGGGGATAACTCTCAGCACCTGGATGCGAAGTGGGTGGAGAGTCGTGCTCTGTAGTAAGCTAACCAAAACGCCAGGAAGTGTATAGAGCTTAACAAGGAGGAGGGAAGAGCTCTGAGCCTGCACGCAAGAGTAGTTAGCAGACTTCCGCTCCTCTTAGACTCCCACGTTATAAAAAGCGGAGGAAAAAAAATCCCACGCTAATGACGTGGGTGAAGTATGAAGAACTTGGGTAGGCGATATTAAGGCGGTATAGGCCGGGGGGGATCTGGCACCCGCTGCTGCTGCTCCCCTGCCCGGTGTGTGTGGGGGGGGGGGCATCATGCTCCCCTGCCCGGTGTGTGTGGGGGGGCATCATGCTCCCCTGCCCGGTGTGTGTGGGGGGGCATCATGCTCCCCTGCCCGGTGTGTGGGGGATATCATGCTCCCCTGCCCGGTGTGTGTGTGTGGGGGGGGGGGCATTATGCTCCCCTGCCCGGTGTGTGTGGGGGGGCATCATGCTCCCCTGCCCGGTGTGTGGGGGATATCATGCTCCCCTGCCCGGTGTGTGTGGGGGGGGGCATCTTGCTCCCCTGCCCGGTGTGTGTGGGGGGGCATCATGCTCCCCTGCCCGGTGTGTGGGGGATATCATGCTCCCCTGCCCGGTGTGTGTGTGTGGGGGGGCATCATGCTCCCCTGCCCGGTGTGTAGGGAGCACAAAGAGTCGGAGAAGACTAGGAAAAGATAGGAAGGGAAGGGGTCATAACCCCCCCTTCCTCCCCCCCCTAGATCTCTCCTGCACCAAGCCCCACAAACACCCCACACAGTTGCAACCACCAACAAACACCAAACAACCACAACAACAACATTTACAAACACGCTCAAAGACATTGATGACATGAATACATCAACCGTGGCAGCCACTTAGCGAGTGAGTCAAGGCTGGGGGGTATAGTGACCATTAAGGTAGTGACCTGACCTGACCTGACCTGCTCTCTCTCTCTCTCTCTCTCTCTCTCTCTCTCTCTCTCTCTCTCTCTCTCTCTCTCTCTCTCTCTCTCTTCGGGGGGTCAAGGTCCCACCAGGTCACGGGTCCTGTTTCACACTGGGTCACTATCAGGGTCACTTGGTGCGTACCTCCCACTGACTATGGGGGTAAGTCAGGGGTCTACCACCCGTGTTAAATAGGTTTATCGTTGTCTACCCCCGTCAATTCCTCTTGAGAATTTTGTAGGTCGTGATCATGTCATCCCCTCTTTACTCTTCTGTCTATCAGGGACGTGAGGTTTGGCTCCCTCAGCCTTTCCTCGTAGCTCATACCTCACAGTTCTGGGACAAGTCTGGTAGCATCCGTCTGAATCTTCTCTAACTTTGTCTTCTGTGTCTTGTCTTGCGTAACTTCGTTTTGTGTTTCATTAGATGTGGACTCCACGCAACATGTGGATGTGTGTGCACGCGCGTGCGGGTGCGTGTATGCGTGCAGGGAGTGCAATTTGGATGTATGCATGCGTGCATGCCACCGCGTTAATGAGAGAGAAGAAGGCATCTAAACCATCTATCAGGAGAGAGCACTAAACCATTACCACTATACAATCCTTGGAAAGAATAAGAGAATTAAGATTAGGGAAAGGACGCAGCAATAGAATAGAGGTTCGGGGATTGAACGCGGACCCGCTAGAAGCGAGGCCATCGCTCGACCGTCCAAGTCAAGTGGCTGGGTCTGCGTGTATGACAGGTGGAATATAAATAATAATGGTGTGATAACAGTCACTCTATAAGAGCAGACTAAAGAGCAGACTAAAGAGCAGCCTACGGACGCCAGCAGGCGCATTTCAGTAGACGAGTTACCTGTGGCGGCTGCTCTCACCTGAGGCCGTGGTGGTGGGGGCAGGTCACTGGAGGGGGGGGAGGTGCGCCCCCTGTGGCGCCTCGCTGGTATTTCAAGGTGAGTGGGTCGCAAAAATCTGGTAACTGATACTGAACACAATTGATATTGAACAATATCAGGCCCAGCTGGCCTGATATTGAACACACTGACCTCAGCGTAGCTGGCCGCCTCTCGCGGAAGTCACAAGACTTCCCAGCTGGTATGGGCATCACGTCATGGAAGCTGGCGTCTTACTCCCTCCTGTCTACCTGTGGGGAAGCTTCCTACGATACGCTCGTTGGCCTTTTCTTGGGAGAAGCCCTTGAGGGGCGGTGATGGGGTTAAGGTGTCCTGTGGTGGCGTCAGGAAGACGATATATGTATAGATTATAGAGCGACGTCCTGCAGGGCCTGGTGCTGCCCCCTGCACGGTGGAGTCTCTGGGTTATTGTTTTAATTCCGGCCGCCACTGATTGATGACTGATGAAGATTAAGCCACCCAAAAGGTGGCACGGGCATGAATAGCCCGTAAGTGGTGGCCCTTTTGAGCCATTACCAGTATCAATAGATGATACTGGAGATCTGTGGAGGTGCGACTGCACCCTGCGTGACGGGAGATGTGTCCCGTGGCGGCCACTGGTGCTGCAGTGTCGGTACACATCCCGCCGCCTCCTCAACCCCCAGCCCCTCCTCCTAAGGTTCCCCAAGGTCTGGAAACCGTCGTACTAAAGTGCCATTATCCTGAACTACCAGAGGACCCAAAACAGAAAACGGAACAGTATGTCACTTTCGCGAGCCGCTACAATTTTCCAGCGCGACGATTTTAGGCCTTAAGTAGAGTGTACGTCAAACCGTGACGTTGTACGGGGAGGACGTCACGTCCAGCGTCAGCTGGTGACCAACACACACGTCAGAGTGGACGTTCATCGCCGGGGTCGTGTGCTGTGACAACCCGTAACTCTAGAACAGTTACCCAACAGGTCAAATCCAGGGAGCGAGGCAGACGCTGTACCACATAAACACAGGCTTTGATACCTGATCAACCAGGCTGTGACTCATACGTCAGGCTGCGAGCAGCCGCGTCTAACAGCCTGGTTGATCAGTCCAGCAACCAGGAGGCCTGGTCGACGACCGGGCCGCGGGGACGCTAAGCCCCGGAAGCACCTCAAGGTAACCTCAAGGTAGGCCACCCAACAGGCTGGCCTTGTCACCTACGTGCGACCAGGATGACCCCTAATGACCCCCCCCCCCCTACTGTTGACCCCGGGCCGCGATAACTACCCCCACCAAACAAGACCTAAGACCACAAACAAGGCCTGTAAGACCTGAGAAAGTGTGTGCACCTCATCGCTAATCTACAAAACTTATCCTAACCTAACGAAAAACAAAGAGATACAATGTTGTGTTTAGTAAGAAGTCAAAACATCCATGACGATACAAGTTTCAGATCCTACTGGAGCTAATCACCTCAACTACTCTACTAAATACACTCTAACCTTAAGGGTCAACAGAAGAGCCACACCCCCTCCCCCTCCCCTCCCCACAATCACAGGGGGGGGGAGGGGGGAGGGGAATAAGGTCAGCACTTGTAACACATAATGTCCTTATGTGTTACTATAGCCTCGCAACACAAGTGTGTTGTGTTGTATTGACCTAAACACCCTCTTGGGGGTCACTAATGATTTTTCAAGAACTGCAATTATGTCAATTTTCCCGGCGGCCGCGATGCTGTTTGCAGCCAGCCACTCCTGTTTACACCCTGCCACTCCTGTTTACACCCAGTCACTCCTGTTTGCAGCCAGCCACTCCCGTTTACACCCTGCCACTCCTGTTTACACCCAGCCACTCCTGTTTACACCCAGCCACTCCCGTTTACACCCTGCCACTCCTGTTTACACCCAGCCACTCCTGTTTACACCCAGCCACTCCTGTTTTCGCCCAGCCGCTCCTGTTTACACCCAGCCACTCCTGTTTACACCCAGCCACTCCTGTTTACACCTAGCCACTCCTGTTTACACCCAGCCGCTCCTGTTTACACCCAGCCACTCCTGTTTACACCCAGCCACTCCTGTTTTCGCCCAGCCGCTCCTGTTTACACCCAGCCGCTCCTGTTTACACCCAGCCACTCCTGTTTACACCTAGCCACTCCTGTTTACACCCAGCCGCTCCTGTTTACACCCAGCCACTCCTGTTTACACCCAGCCACTCCTGTTTACACCCAGCCACTCCTGTTTACACCCAACCGCTCCTGTTTACACCCAGCCGCTCCTGTTTACAGCCAGCCACTCCTGTTTACACCCAGTCACTCCTGTTTACAGCCACTCACTCACGCATGTCCTAACAACTCACAAATCTGTCCATAGTCGTGTTCAATCGTTCCCAACCCTAAAGCCATACGAATTCTCACGTTCGTCATTTCAGAACATTAGTGTGTGTCCAGCATGGATCCATTTATGACTTAAATTTTAAATTAAATTTTGCCCCGAGGGGCGAGTTTATTGGGCAGCGCCACTCATCTTGTGAGTGGACACACCGCCATAGCAGCATGTACAACACTCCCCAATAGGAAGAAAACCCGCTGGGTTGTTCATCCTGTCACTTGTACCCAGACATAGCTGGGACTTGCTTAACTGTCTCAAGTGAACAGCTCCTCAAAGTTATATTTGGGTTAATGTTCAACACGTGACGTTGTTTACACACACACACACACACACACACACACACACACACACACACATGGTCGTGTGTGTTGATTGACGTTGAGAGGCGGGCCCAAAGAGTCAAAGCTCAACCCCCGCAAGCACAATTAGGTGAGCACACACACACACACACACACACACACACACACACACACACACACACACACACACACACACACACACCCACGGCCAGAGGTCTCCAGCACCGCGCAAGGACTATAGAAACCAACTTCCTACTTCCCTGCACGGAGTCATCATTACGAATCGCGGCGGGACCCAGATCTGCAATATCTGCTGAATCTCGAGGGGTTATAACGGAGACCAAACACACTCTTAGACACACACAAGACAAACACAGTCTGTAGCCTACAGACCGAAGGGCTAGCGAGCACACGCTACAGTAAACCAAGCTATATTCAAGCATTGGAGCAGCATTAACAGCAAAAGTGAAAATAGGATGAGGAGGAACGACAGGATTTAGGAGGACCAGCAGCACGAGGAATGTCATCCAGCAGGAGGGTGAGGAGGGCCACAATTGGATGACTCCCGCCCGCATCTGTGGCATCACGGGCCAGCGACGCCGCCATCTTGCCACACTTGCCCCGTAACATCTTATTTCAAATAAAAAAAACTCGTACTGAATTTCTCGCGGAGTTCTGGATAGCATAGTCAATATAACAAAGGCGCAGGAGCCCGAATAAACTTCTGGTATACTTTTTGGTCTCTAAGTTGTTATGTATAATATATATATATATATATTTATATATATAACTTAACGACATTAGTGTGAGTAGAATAGCGATAAGTGGCAACGCCCAGCGGGCAGGGGGTTGCCACGTCTCGCCAGGCTTCTCGCCCGCCGGCTCCATCCACACTCACTCTACACAAAATCAGGCATTAAAAACACAAATATATATCCAGGAAACATGCAACAATAAATAATTAAAAAAAATGGCTGACTCAAGAGCAACAACGGACAGGCCGAGAGGGGGGGGAGGGGGAGGGCATGGCAGGCGGCGGTGCCACATCACCACCAGGGCCCCCCCACCCCCCCACCCCCTCTCCCAGTGGTGCCAAACCTGCCGTCGGAACCACGAGGGGTAAAAAAAAAAAGGAATCTCCAATCTTTAACAAACTCCTACTCAAACTTTTGCTCTGTGCTCTCTCTCTTACTACCGACTCCTCGCAAATCAAATTCAATTAACGGAAGGAATAGAGTTTAATACAAGGAACTGAATGAAAACTTTGCCTGTTATCACTGCTTGCGAAGTGCCCTCCCTCCCCTCCTCCCCCCTCCCCCCACCCCACGGGCAGGGGGGGGGCGGAGATATGGGGGGGACGAGGGGAGATATTATAATGGAGGAGACACGGCGGATGAGTGGGTGAGGGGAGACAGGGAGGAGTGGGTGAGGGAGGAAGACAGGGAGGAGGAGAGCATATGAGAGGTGTGTGATGTGAGAAATGAGTCCAACCTTCCCTTGTACCACACTGAAGCATAGGGGGGGACACTGTCCTCCTCTGGTGCTATGGAGTCTGCAACTCTGCAGCTGGGCCGGTGCTCCCATCCCCCAAGTCTCCAGAGATACTTGTGGCCAAGATAAATGCTTTCAATTACAGATTCCCGCCTTCGTGCGCCCGTTTTCTGTCATCGGGACGGAGACTATCGGCGGCGACGGGTCACTGTCCCAGAGTCACAGACTGGCTCTCCTGGGCCGCCTTATCACGCCTTGTCTCTTGATTTATACAATGTTCTTGCTGTAGCATCATAAATGGCTGTATTGAATATTTCACATACAATGAGAGTCGCTATACAGGATATTGGCGGCGCCAGGCTGCCGGCCCTTAGCGTTTCTCAAGGCAAATCCTTTCGGGTGTTAATTGTCGCAGGTTGCAGACGTGAGGTCGGGTCAGGTGACCTGGCTCTTGGCTAAGATGATAATTGCAGGCTGGTGGCTGTGTTATTTCCATCAAACAAGCCGCTGTCTAGATGTGGTAGGAAGATTGCCAGAGGCTATCTCCTGATAAGTGGAGTCTAGCTCCCGGTTCCCGCCTTAAATACCCGAGGAAGTGTACATTTGAGAGAGAGAGAGAGAGAGAGAGAGAGAGAGAGAGAGAGAGAGAGAGAGAGAGAGAGAGAGAGAGAGAGAGAGAGAGAGAGAGAGAGAGAGAGAGAGAGAGAGAGAGAGAGAGACAGACAGACAGACAGACAGACAGACAGACAAACAGACAAACAGACAGACAGACAGACAGACACAGACAGACAGACAGAAAGATAGACAGTCAGTCATAGTTGCTCTCTAATTCTTGTGTGGAAGCTCAAGTTCTGAAGTAATGTTGATACTTGAAAGTCAAGGGAAAACGCCGATTTATGATATCCATATGACAGTGAATTATCCTGAATGTATACATACACATTAATAACTGATTAACTTACATTTAATAAATCGTCTTTAATTCCGAGCCCTAGATCTGGGATTCAGGTCTGTGATATAGTGAGTGGAGAGCACTCTAACTTTCACTAGTTCACTGGCTAAAGATTATGACTTAAGGATTCTTGATTACATGATTTACATTTTTACAGTTGTTTCTTGATAACATTTGATAATATTGTGGTACAGACAAGTTCCATTGCTTGTCTTATAAATAACCCTTGAATGGATGGTTATCTTGAGATGATTTCGGGGCTTTTTAGTGTCCCGCGGCCCGGTCCTCGACCAGGCCTCCACCCCCAGGAAGCAGCCCGTGACAGCTGACTAACACCCAGGTACCTATTTTACTGCTAGGTAACAGAGGCACAGGGTGAAAGAAACTCTGCCCATTGTTTCTCGCCGGCGCCTGGGATCGAACCCGGGACCACAGGATCACAAGCCCAGCGTGCTGTCCGCTCGGCCGACCGGCTCCCATGGTGGCAGCATTATCTACCTCTTTCCTTTTAATCCTCTTTCTTCTTCCTCCTTCCTTCTTTTCCTCTCTTCCGTCTAGCGTTTCTACTACTTTCTACTCTTCTACCCTTTCTATCTACCTCTTACCTAATTTACCTACTGTAACCCAATTGTTCTCATTCAAACTTTTCCTTTGTCCTGGAAAGGAAAAGGGAACGGAAAATGTGTACTCCTGAATACGAGCAGCTGCGTCCAACAGCCTAGTTGATCAGTCCAGCAACCAGGAATCCTGATCGACGACCGGGCCGCGGGGACGCTAAGTCCCGGAAGGACCTCAAGGTAACCTCAAGGTAAAGACTACATCACTCAGGCATTTTCTTAGTTTTCTTTCATCCATTTTCCCGATACTGGGGGAGAAGCCTTCAATATGCAAACTGTCTTCGGGCAGAAGATCCGCTCAATGGGAATGGATTGGGAATCACTACATAATTAGTGCGATTATCTATTCTCTATCCATGGTTAGGTTTGGGATTGATTTGCTGTGAGGACAGGCTCCTCCTCCACCACCCTCAGCTGCCAGCACATATGTGCGTTTGTACAGGATGAACAACCCAGCGGGTTTTCTTCCTATTGGGGAGTGTTGTACATGCTGCTATGGCGGTGTGTCCACTCACAAGATGAGTGACGCTGCCCAATACTGTCACTATGGCGGTGTGTCCACTCACAAGATGAGTGACGCTGCCCAATACTGTCACTATGGCGGTGTGTCCACTCACAGGATGAGTGGCGCTGCCCAATACTGTCACTATGGCGGTGTGTCCACTCACAGGATGAGTGGCGCTGCCCAATACTGTCACTATGGCGGTGTGTCCACTCACAGGATGAGTGACGCTGTCCAATACTGTCACTATGGCGGTGTGTCCACTCACAGGATGAGTGTCGCTGCCCAATACTGTCACTATGGCGGTGTGTCCACTCACAGGATGAGTGGCGCTGCCCAATACTGTCACTATGGCGGTGTGTCCACTCACAGGATGAGTGGCGCTGCCCAATACTGTCACTATGGCGGTGTGTCCACTCACAGGATGAGTGGCGCTGCCCAATACTGTCACTATGGCGGTGTGTCCACTCACAGGATGAGTGGCGCTGCCCAATACTGTCACTATGGCGGTGTGTCCACTCACAGGATGAGTGGCGCTGCCCAATACTGTCACTATGGCGGTGTGTCCACTCACAGGATGAGTGGCGCTGCCCAACAAACTCGCCCCTCGGGGACCAAACATAAAGTGATTCAAGTGCTATAGTTAACAGCGTCGTCCACTAGGTAATTCACTTATATGGAAAACAAAGTGTAAACGTGTAATTGATTTGTTACACAGCACTAAACTGTACAGAGGGTTCCAAGGGCCTGATTAGGGGGGAGGGGGAAAAAGAAGAGAGGGGGGGGGGACACACCACGTGGTCACAGGGGAGTCCCCCCCCCTCCAAGTCTCCCCCCCCCCCACTCCTCTGGCTGCCTACAAAACACCAACCAGAGCCCAATATGCTCCACCCAGAACCCCTCCAACAGACCCCCCCCCTCGCGGGGGGAGGGGGGAAGGGGGGCTGGGGCAGACCCCTCTCCCTTCCCTCACCTCATCAGCCTCCTTTTTTTTGGCAGGACTGGCTGTGGGAGGTACTCCCCTCCCATCTCCTTTTCCACATTTTTCTCACCCCTGATTCAGATTCCATAACTCTCACTGTATTTCCCATTTGTAAACTTCCCTTCACTTATGCCTCTCCATCTTCACCCCCCCCCCCCCCAAAAAAAAAATCCCCCTCCCCCAACTCCTGATCCACACCCCTCCTCCCCCCCCACCCCTGATTCACACACCCCCCTCCTCCCACCCCTGATCCACACCCCCCCCACCCCTGATCCACACCCCCCCCCCCACCCCTGATCGACACACCCCTGATCCACCCCCCCTACCCCTGATCCACCCCCCCCCCACCCCTGATCCACACCCCCCCAACCCATGATCCTCACCCCCCCCCCACCCATGATCCACACCCTCTCCCCCCACCTCACACGCGGTGAGAATCGGGTTCAATATATTACAGATAAGACAAATTTTGCCTTAAATAGGTTAGACACAATAACTACACGACAACCACATCACATAACTACAAATTATTGGTTAAAAATAACTAATAACTAACTACACATTCCACCACTACACGACACAAGAATCCAGCGACAGCCAAGGAAACAATCAAGGAACAACCCAGCATCAAGGAACAATCCAGCAACAATCAAGGAACAACCCAGCATCAAGGAACAATCCAGCAACAATCAAGGAACAATCAAGGAACAATCCAGCAAGTCGGGAACAATCAAGGAACAATCAATAAACAATCCAGCAACAGCCAAGAAACAATCCAGCAACAATCAAGGAACAATCTAGCAACAGCCAAGAAACAATCCAGCAACAATCAAGGAACAATCCAGCAACAGCCAAGAAACAATCCAGCAACAATCAAGGAACAATCCAGCAAGTCGGTAACAATCAAGGAACAATCCAGCAAGTCGGGAACAATTAAAGAACAATCCAGCAACAATCAAGGAATAATCCAGCAACAATCAAGGAACAATCCAGCAACAGCCAAGGAACAATCCAGCAACAATCAAGGAACAATCCAGCAAGTCGGTAACAATCAAGGAACAATCCAGCAAGTCGGGATCAAGGAACAATCCAGCAACAGCCAAGGAACAATCCAGCAACAATCATGAAACAATCCAGCAAGTCGGTAACAATCAAGGAACAATCCAGCAAGTCGGGATCAAGGAACAATCCAGCAAGTCGGGAACAATCAAGGAACAATCCAGCAACAATCAAGGAACAATCCAGTAACAATCAAGGAATAATCCAGCAACAATGAAGGAACAATCCAGCAACAGCCAAGGAACAATCCAGCAACAATCAAGGAACAATCCAGCAAGTCGGTAACAATCAAGGAACAATCCAGCAAGTCGGGAACAATCAAGGAACAATCCAGCAACAATCAAGGAACAATCCAGCAACAGCCAAGGAACAATCCAGCAACAATCATGGAACAATCCAGCAAGTCGGTAACAATCAAGGAACAATCCAGCAACAATCAAGGAACAATCCAGCAACAGCCAAGGAACAATCCAGCAACAATCATGGAACAATCCAGCAAGTCGGTAACAATCAAGGAACAATCCAGCAAGTCGGGAACAATCAAGGAACAATCCAGCAACAATCTAACAACAATCCAACAACAATCCAGCCGGGCCTCGCGAGTATAACATACTGGTGAGATTTCCCATTGTCCAACATGGCGGGCTGACTCATCGTCGTTCATCCTGTGACACCACACCGCCCACACACACACACGACCAAACCCTTCCCCACCCCGAGTGTCGTTTGTCCTGGGGAGTACAACACGGCACCCGCACCCGCCAATAGGAAGCCCTCCTCCACCCATTACCCCCATAACTGTAAACAAGAAACTCCCACTTAATGACCCTTCGACCACTATGGCCCGTAAGGTCTAACACGGGCGCCTGAATGGGGGAGTGCCACCACCCGATGGGTTCGAAATGTGGGTTGCGCTGACCTAATGGGCAATTATGGATATTTTTTGGCTATAATTGGCCAAAGGAACACAGTATAGGATGTGTGGGTGTGTTGGGGGGGGGGGGGCTAGCATGGGTAGGGTGTGTTGGGGTGTGTTTAACATGGGTAGGGTGTGTTGGGGTGTGTCTAGCATGGCTAGGGTGTGTTGGGGGTGTGTCTAGCATGGCCAGGGTGTGCTGGGTGTGTGTCTAGCATGGCCAGGGTGTGCTGGGTGTGTGTCCAACATGGCTAGGGTGTGTTGGGATGTGTCCAACATGGCTAAGGTGTGTTGGGATGTGTCCAACATGGCTAGGGTGTGTTGGGATGTGTCCAACATGGCTAGGGTGTGTTGGGATGTGTCCAACATGGCTAGGGTGTGTTGGGATGTGTCCAACATGGCTAAGGTGTGTTGGGATGTGTCCAACATGGCTAGGGTGTGTTGGGATGTGTCCAACATGGCTAGGGTGTGTTGGGATGTGTCCAACATGGCTAGGGTGTGCTAGGATGTGTCCAACATGGCTAGGGTGTGTTGGGATGTGTCCAACATGGCTAGGGTGTGTTGGGATGTGTCCAACATAGCTAGGGTGTGCTGGGATGTGTCCAACATAGCTAGGGTGTACTGGGATGTGTCCAACATGGCTAGGGTGTGTTGGGATGTGTCCAACATGGCTAGGGTGTGCTAGGGATGTGTCCAACATAGCTAGGGTGTGTTGGGATGTGTCCAATCAAATGGTAGGGTGTGCTGGGATGTGTCCAACATAGCTAGGGTGTACTGGGATGTGTCCAACATGGCTAGGGTGTGTTGGGATGTGTCCAACATAGCTAGGGTGTGCTGGGATGTGTCCAACATGGCTAAGGTGTGTTGGGATGTGTCCAACATGGCTAGGGTGTGTTGGGATGTGTCCAACATGGCTAGGGTGTGTTGGGATGTGTCCAACATAGCTAGGGTGTGCTGGGATGTGTCCAACATAGCTAGGGTGTACTGGGATGTGTCCAACATGGCTAGGGTGTGTTGGGATGTGTCCAACATGGCTAGGGTGTGCTAGGGATGTGTCCAACATAGCTAGGGTGTGTTGGGATGTGTCCAATCAAATGGTAGGGTAATAATCAGCAAGCAGACACCTGTAGGGCCCGGGGAGCAGACATAACCTGACATAAAGCAGAATACATTTATTTTGTACAGAGTCGAGTAAGGGGTTCAGGGGGCCTGACAGCTGAGTGGACAGCGCTACGGATTCGTAGTCCTGAGGTTCCGGGTTCGATCCCCGGTGGAGGCGGAAAGAAATGGGCAGAGGTTTCTTTCACCCTGTTGTACCTGTTCACGTAGCAGTAAATAGGTACCTGGGAGTTAGACTGCTGCTACGGGCTGCTTCCTGGGGGTGTGTAACAAAAAGGTCTGATCGAGGACCGGGCCGCGGGGACGCTAAGCCAAGAAGATAACAGGAGCAGATAACCTGTGACTCCTGTTAGCAGGCTGAGAGCTTTACCATCCCATAGTTCATGGTAAGCCTTATCCTGCTAGATAGCCCCTGGAACACGACCTGGCAATAGGTCAGCAACCAGGTACCCCAATTCCTGCTGGGTGAACAGAGGCGAACAGCTAAGGATTGAAGGCATGATAATCCTCCCCCCTTCCCCCTGCCAGGACTCGAACCTAGACCAATCGCTGGCGTGACGCGGGGCGTGTGTTACCAATGCCCGCTGCCAGATATCAGAGTTTGGTGTGCCAGTGGAGGCAGCTGGCCCGCCTGGCCCACACCAAGATGTTTACAAACAAACCAAGAGGTGTGTAAACTGGAGGAGGTGGTTATTGTAAACTTCCGGTATTAAGAAGACTCGATATGCAACCCCTCCTTATGTAGGAGGTATCCCTCGGTATCCCTCGGTATCCCCACTTATAATGCAACTCAATTACTAGATACTGCAGCTATTTACTCAACAGTAACTACAACATCTACACCTGACTTCCACACCCCCACACCTATCTTACAGTAACACCTTTCACCCACACCTGCAACCACCCCCACACCTGCAACCACCCACACACCTGGAAAATACTGGAGGGTCAGGTCCCAAATCTACACAGTAAAATAACAACGTACTGGAGTGAACGATATGGAAGAAAATGCAAGATTGAACCTGTGAAGAGCAGAGGTGCCATAGGCACAATCAGAGAGCACTGTATAAACATCAGAGGTCCGCGGTTGTTCAACGTCCTCCCAGCGAGCATAAGAAATATTGCCGGAACAACCGTGGACATCTTCAAGAGAAAACTGGACGGTTTTCTAAGAGAAGTTCCGGATCAGCCGGGCTGTGGTGGGTACGTGGCCCTGCGGGCCGCTCCAAGCAACAGCCTGGTGGACCAAACTCTCACAAGTCGAGCCTGGCCTCGGGCCGGGCTTGGGGAGTAGAAGAACTCCCAGAACCCCATCAACCAGGTATCAACCAGGTGCAACCACCCCCACACCTACTGTTCCTCATCAAAAAGGAGGACACAGGGCGACAAAAATTCCCCATAGACAGAGACGAGGCTCCGAGTTGCAGGAAGGAGACGAGTGGAGTCCCGCAGGGTTGGTCCTGGGCCCGTCGCCACTCTTCCTAATGATATATGTGAGTGACCCGCCCGAGGGAGTGGGTTCGCCCCCCGGGAGTGGGTAGACACATGGTTGCTAGGATTCAATCCCAACAAGTGTAAGGATATGCAGACGGGGGAAAAGCATCAGAAGACCAACAGGTGTTTATATCGTGAGAGAAAATAATTTGAGATTGGATATAATTCCAAAGTTATCTACAGAGGCGCACGTGTCTGTAATAATGTAAATATTGGCAGCTACGGGACGCTAGCAAGGTTATCTTGAGGTTATCTTGAGATGATTCGGGGCTTTAGTGTCCCCGCGGCCCGGTCCTCGACCAGGCCTCCAACCCCAGGAAGCAGCCCGTGACAGCTGACTAACACCCATGTACCTATTTTACTGCTAGGTAACAGGGGCATCAGGGTGAAAGAAACTCTGCCCATTGTTTCTCGCCGGCGCCCGGGATCGAACCCGGGACCACAGGATCACAAGTCCAGTGTGCTATCCGCTCGGCCGACCGGCTCCGTTGAAAATATTTGATGCAAAAGTTGGAAATGTTGTGGAATTATATACATGCATGACACATAGAAAGGGAGGGGAGAGGGGGAAGGTAGGGAGGGGAGGTGGGGAAGAAAATGAGGGAAGGTGGGAAGGCAGGGGGAGTATGGAATCTCGGGTAAGAGCAGGGCCAGGACTTGGGGGAGAGGGGAGTGCAGGGGGGAGAAAGGGGAGTGTCGGGGAAGGCTGGGAGGGGTAGGGAGAGAGAGAGGGGAGAGGTGGGGGGGAGAGAGAGGGAAGAGGTGGGGGAGAGAGAGGGGAGAGGTGGGGAGAGAGAGAGGGGAGAGGTGGGGAGAGAGAGAGGGAAGGGGTGGGGAGAGAGAGAGAGGGGGGGAGAGATGGGAGAGAGAGAGAGAGGGGAGGGGTGAGAGAGAGGGGAGAGGTGGGAGAGAGAGAGGGGTGGGGAGAGAGAGAGGGGAGAGATGGGAGAGAGAGAGGGGAGAGGGGAGGGGTGGGGGAGAGAGAGGGGAGGGGATACAGGACACCGGGCTTCTTATTCATGTTGTCCTTATTAAAGGACAGGAAGAAGAAAGGAATGAAGAAGAGATAATGGAATAAGAAAAGTAGGGTGAGGAGGAGAAATGTGAAAAGGACAAGACATTTGAGTGTAAAAGACTGACTAACCGGTTAAGGGGAGACAACCAGGAGGTCATCGCTCAAACACAACCATTCAGTTAACCTTTAGACACTGTGCATACATCTCTGCTCATCTCCGGCAAGAAATTTCAAACAGGAGAGGACACTGCTCTGTGGCTCACAAGGGGAAACAATACCTCCCCCAGCACGAGTGAGGGGAACCACCACCCGCACAAACACATCCACAGTCTTCCTTTACAAACAATAGTCTCCACCATTACTAAGAATATAAGCGATATCTGTCAAAGTGGCATATTTCATTCCAAGACAATCTTGATGCTTTGCAAAAACATATAAGAGACAAATGTCATCATTTCGTTATCTGTGGTGAGATCAAATGAGCATCCAAGGACATGCCTTTCATCCATCAGAGTTGCAAAATG